AGTGATCCGATTCAAGGCCCGATATGTTGCAAAAGGTTTCACCCAAGTGATAGGTTTAGACTACGAATCCACTTTTGCGCCCACGGCAACTTTCGTATCTATGAGACTCATTCTAACCATGGCAGCTAAATTTAACTGGCCAGTCTATTCTTTTGATTTTGTTGCAGCCTATTTGAACGCTCCCATTGATGAAGAGGTATGGGTCGAGGCGCCTGAAGGACTCGAGGTCAAGCCAGGTGAAGCGATGCTCTTGCACAAAGCACTCTATGGGACGAAACAGGTTGCAAGGTGCTGGTGGCTCCATCTCAAGAATGTTCTGGAGAGCCTTGGTTTTGAGGCCAGCCAATACGACAACAGCCTGTACACTGTCAAACGCCGGGATCAGAAGGGAGTGGTCTGGGTACACGTGGACGATGGAATTGTGACTGGATCTTCCACTGAACTCCTCAAATCCCTCGAGGATGGTTTGAAAGGTATGCTTAAGATCAAATGGACTGACGGACTGAATTCCATAGTTGGGCTCGAAGTCAAGAGGTCAGATAAAGGTTTTAGTCTACGACAACCCAAACTCATCAATCAAATACTTGACGCACATTGGGATGGCTGTACTACACACAAGACTCCACTCCCTACCTCTCTTGAATTGATTACTGACCCTTCTGGTGACAAGAATACCTCGACACAATATCTCTCCATTATCGGCTCACTCAGCTACCTGGCCGTTGGTAGTCGACCTGACATAGCGTTTGCAGTGAACCTTCTGGCGCGTTTTTCAGCACAACCAGGGACTAACCATTGGAAAGGTGTCAAACACCTAATTGGCTACCTAGCGGAATCACGTGGTCTCTATCTGAATCTCTTTCCCAACGACCTTCCGAAACCTCTAAAATGCTTCTGCGACGCGTCATGGGGCGGGGAATTTGCCAAGTCTACTTACGGCATCGTGGTAACTTTTTTCGGATGCCCAGTTCTGTGGACATCAAGGCGTTTTGCCACAATAGCAGCCTCGACTTGCCAGGCGGAATATATGGCTTTAGGGGTAGGAACTAGACAGGTCCTCTGGGTACGACATCTACTCACTGACATTCTCAAACACAGCTTCACCGGATTATTGCATTGTGACAACCAGGCTGCGATAAGAGTAAGCACTGACGACTCGGCCAACAAGAGGGTTAGACACGTTGAAAGAGAATACTATCTAACTAACCAAGCCCTGCACGAGAAGAAAACTGAGCTTCTGTGGGTCCCCACGAAGGAGCAACTGGCTGACATGTTTACTAAAGCACTGTCCAGAGAGCCTTTTGAATCCTTCCGGGGGAGAATCATGAGTGGTTCCTAGGTGAGGGGGGAGTGTTGTAACCCAGCGAGGGGTTACCAAAGGGTCTCACCTAGGCCCCCTTTCCAGCATGTACATAGTCTTTAGTTAGCCGATGAACATGCAATCACCATTATCATTGTCTCTGAGAGTCTCGTTTCTCATCATTTATCCAGGTTTTCTTTCTTGGCCAAACAACCGTCGGGTTCTGCAGGCCTCATTCATCGCGCTTTGTGGCCTTTTTTTTCGGACGCCTAGTCTTAGCAAGCTCTGAGGCCCCAGATCATCAGCAGTTGGACTTTTCTTTTTTTGTGGCATCTACATACGCTCGAGTTTGGGAGCTGAATCAACCGCTTGATGGTTCCTGTCTTAATGCCTATTTTTGAAGAAAGGATTCTGTCAATACGGAGGCATCCTTCTCAGACATTTGGAGGATTCAGGGATCCTGAAAATATACAGAAAGCAGTAGGCCTTTTCTGAGCTTAGCATGCAACGCCAAACAGTAGAAAAAGTATGTGAGTTTTTAGACATCAATGTCAAGCCTGGTTGGTCTACCATATCTCAGGGCTGATGTTGGAGGTCAGAAGGCTCATGAGAATACACATAAATATGGATGGTGGGGCCCATCAGAATCCTAGCTGGAGGAGTCTTCTGGTGGATGGCACATTTTATGGGAGTGGTTGAATAGAAGAGATGAAGCTTTGATGTACAGGAAGCTAATGTGCATATTTGTATTCATGACTGTGGGTTTGATTTTCCTTGCTTGAAGCAGGGCTGGACAGGCTTTTAAAAACCAACAGACCATATGGTACTCAATGTGGATTCCACTTGGGGGTTGATGAAGAAACAAAGTTGTCAAAGAAGGGAGATTGGGTTCCATCAATCATCATATAGCCTGGTTCATGGTTGAAATTTCCCAAATTTTAATCCCCATTTTTAAGCTGTTTTTATCTGCTAGGTTTTCAAAAATTGTAAAGTTGTGAGGATTGATCAGAAACCCTCAACTCTTCCCAGCTATTTTTTTTTTTGTAATGTTGTTGATAAAAGCCGTAAAATTGGCTTTAAAAATTGTGGAAATTTCAATTTGATATTCACAGGGTTCATGATTCAGCTTGTTAGATTTTTAAAGTCCATTTTAAGCTGTTTCTCAATAAATTTTTGAAAGGTGAAAAAGCTGTTCTGATTGTTTCAAAATTTTAAAATGTTGCTGAAGAGAACCTTAACATTGACTATCAAGACTTTATAAATTTCAATTGTGAACCCCCCTAATAGACCATTCCTAAAATACTCATCAGATGAAGTGAAGAAGTGAGCAATCATAAGTACATATATTGAGACTTTGTCATTAGAAGTGGGAACAAAAAATGAGAATAAATATGAGATTTCTGAGGGGGGGGGGTATTTGTGGACCTGTGATTCACAGTTGAATCTGACTTACATTAATTGGTTTATCTTTGAAACATCCATGATCTTTAACTTCCCTATGAGTTACATTGTCAGTAAAGTTTTTGATGTCGAATTAGCTTCAAGGTTTTTTGAGACATTTTGGATGCACTAGAGTGTCTCCAAGGTTTACTGTATCCATGAGGTAGGGAGGATCTTAGAGTTGAGCACATGTGTGCAGTGGGTTATGAAAGGAAAAATGTGGAGCTGGAATGTTGGGAGTTGATAACTGGGATACAACCCACATCCCACACATGAGTGGAATATGTGCAATCAAATGGCCAGAGCAATGAGAACAAAAATGGAGCTAGGGCTGGAAAGCTTTGTTGAAATAAATCAGAATTTTTAGCATTTGGGGTAAAACTCATTGGAGGAACTTCAAGGAAGTGCTGGAAAAAAGTGGCAGATGTTGATCTGAATAGGAAATCATGCAGGAACAAAGCTCTTGAATGCTTTTATTTGCATAACTTGTTTCAATTGGAGTTTTCTAAGGGTACAACAATCAGGGAAGCTTTGTTAGCTGACAGGCGCTGGCTAAAAAGGATAATCAACAAATGTAGCCTCAGCCTCAGGCTTGCAAAATGCAGTGTAGGCCGGAGTTATCCAGAGTGTTGACTCAATCACCTCGTTAAAGAGGATGCCTGTTGATGGACGAGATGGATTAAAATTGATGTTTTTGAGGCACAAATTCAAGCTTCTGGGCATCGTACATCTTCCGAGCGAATCCTGCAGTACATAAATACATAATCTCCTTCTGGCCCGTGTTGCGGTCTGGAAGTATGAATTTCTGCGGTTACTTCAGCAGATAGTCGTTAAAAAACGAGTAAAGCGTGTTCTACTTGCAACCTGCTCCATAGGCTTCGTTTTATCAACATGTGATGGCCAAGTGGAAACACTCCCAAAGAAAAGAAGCATTCAAGCTTGATTTTCATGGATAGTCGTCCAAGCCTTTGAAACCCGAATTGCTGGCATAAATATTCACTCCGTGCCACCTCGGACCGGGCGAGGGTAACAGATTTGTTATTTCAGACAACATTCCATCACTGCCCCCATGTTGATTACCTGATTACATCCAAATGGAAAATCGAAATGAGTCTTGGCAGTGCGATGCGCCAATATGTGCCTCTACATGAATACCCCTTGTAAATTCATACTTATTGATGGAGACAAGAAGCCGTATCGTTATGTGTGCATATTTATTTATGTGTGGCACTTGTACCCAGTGAAACAATCAAATTTCCTGGAGTCACTGACCTTGTAGGGCCATGGTTGGCTGCCCTTGCCACTTGCTTTTAGGCTCAATGCTTATACTAGCGACAACCTTGTTGTATGATCAATTGACAAGCAAAGGTGGACAGTAGCAGGTCATAAGCTTTCCACGCTTTGATGGTGATAGCTGGTGATAATAGATATCACATCCGAGGGTTCCCCTAGTCTTACCAAGACAAATGGACAAACGAGAATGCCCTCCGGACAAGACCGTCAGATGAATTCGACTTGCGCGTTTACCTGGGCCAGAAATGGGGACACTGAGTCACTGTGTGTGAGTTTGTGTATGTTTGTTGAGGGCTCTTGGAACATATCTGTCGCCAGAAGAACACTTGCTTCTCATGATAAGGGGACCTCCACATCTGATTTCGTTTTTTTTCTGGTTCGTCGTTGGCTTGTGAGTGCCTTGCATGGTCTGGAAAGTTGATGGAGAGTACATAATCATGTTCAACCCTATTCGGTGGTTGTTGATCGGCTTGCAAACAAATCATAAACTCGCTGCATGGGCTTTTCCGTATAACCCGACTGGCCCGTAATCAGGAGCACGGTAAGTTACCACTTGGGCGCTGATTGAAATTTGAAAATGGATCAGTGGTGAGAAGTCTTCCAGGGGTTCGTCGGAATCGATCACTGATCTGATCGGAGCTCAGGACAAGTGTCTGATGTTGTCAATCCAAGTTCAAAACCCTACTCTGAATCCTTGCAAATGTTGACAAAACTGAGATTGAGCGTGACCAGGAGAAAGCTTGAGAAGCGATAGCTCCCTTGTTTCTCCATCGCCATCTGATTTAATTTTGTCTTTTTTTTCTGGAAAGGAAAAAAAAATGGGAGGCGCAGTACAGTAGACCAGTGGAATATTCCTAACTTCGAACAGCCTCTTCACCGCAGGGAACATCTTTTACAACAAGGAACTTTATTGCAAGCGCAGGATTTGCTTGGCAAGCTCTCCAGAGTTTTCCTGCCTCCAGTTGTACAAATTTTCAGTTGCAGTCAGTCAGACAGAAGATAGCCCCGAAAACTCGCCACGTCAACATTCACGCAGTGTCCGCTGAAGGTTGAGCTGGTGTATCGCAACTTGCTGAGCTCATCAAATCCCGTTCGCTTATTCTGTGAAACATCTTGACTCGCTTCTTAAAGCTCTTCTGAATCTGAGCTTTGTGTAGCTCTGCCATAAATAAAGCATCATCAGTTGCGAGCCATATCGTGGCATACTACTTTGTTCCAGTTTGTCCCTCTTACCTTTCCACTTGCTATTTGTCCGGAGTCCGGCGTAGATCTCCGTTTGGCGGAGCTTACTGTCAACGATTAACACAAGCACCCATCTCGCCAAGAAGATACGTTTGTTACCTTAGCCCACTTGTTTTACCCATACCCTCACGCGCAGGTGGTGTGGTGCATCCCTCGTTAGAATCAACTGCAGAATATCTCGCTACCGGTGTCTCGCTACCAGTCTTGCCACTTTCGCTCAAGTCTGACCCTGCCAAGGAGACTGCAGCAGCGAAACTCCTTAAAAGCATTCGTGAAGAACATCCACTGTCGCTTGCCTTTTCGTCCCAATCTCACTGCCTCACTGCAGCTTGGCCTGGCTCAAGCCTCCTCGCATGTACAATCGCCTCGAAAATTGGGAAATCACTACTTAAGTCCACTCAAACAGGTCAACAAACAATAGCCTCCAGCGCAGCCGTATCGCAACTCCTCACAGATCTCCATATCTTCGCGGTGCCGATTAGAGTGAATTTTTGACCGGTCCGAGGTTTTCGGGACTCGAGGCTAAGATTTGCAATTGAAAAGTCCATTCAAACAACAAGTGCGTGTTCTTATTTCAATGTCAATGTTTGACTTCCTTACTTCAGAACAATCCCAATCGATGTTTGTCCGACGAAGCTCCCCCATCCCTGAACAAGCCCTCTTGGCTAAGGAGTAACTTCTTTTTTGAGAGCTCTTGAGAGATCTGCTAAATATGCATGTAGGAATAGGTCTCAGACTCCGCTTCCCTTACCTGGTGACCAGGGCCCCTTCTTCACTGACTCAGCTGAAGGACCTTGAGGAGCCTTTAGGCATTTGAAGGGAGCAAAAAATTGAGAGTCACGCAACATTCGACCCCTTGAACCCCCACTCCATACTCCCACGTCTTTCAAGATAAATGCCTAAAAATCCACTGAGAACATTTTATGTATGAACCAATCGTGGAGAATGGGTTTACATGGAATGAGCTTCACCTTCTATCCTTGGACATAAATGCATACATACTTCATATAAACACATAACATACTCAAATTTGTATATCATCCTCATCAGTATGCACAAGCTATTCATGTGTGTGGGTGTCCTCTTGACGTTATGTGTCGTTTTTGGGGTCCCTTTTTTGCGTTCATATGTAAACATATAATATTTTTTTCCATTCGGATCTTTTTCCCGTAAGCGTTGGAGCTTGGAGCTGCTTGGCGGTCCCTGGAAACTCGAGAGACCGTGACTTTGCGTAAAAAGGTGGTTGATGAACGGGATTGCAGCGGAAACTCACTCCTTCTGATTGGTCACCTTCAGGAATCCATTATTAACCCTTCAGGATTTCCATCGAAGCTAAACCTGCAGTTCCAGGTCGACCTTGCGTGAGTTCCAGTCCCTCTCTTCTTTCTTGTTCTGCTCCAACCTTTTGCACTTCTTAATCGGCTTGGATGTATTCGAACATCATGATCTTGATGGGTATCTCGAGTCGCGGTTGTCAGTTAAAGTCTGAACCAGCTTAGGCCTATGAATACGCGTTTGGATATCTCAATTTTTGATTGATGTTGCCTTCTGCCATATCAACTGCTGCTTGATGCAGTGGTGCAACATATACTTCCGCAACCTTTTTGATGTGCAACTTGCAAGGGTCCCCTGAAAACTTCTTATGATCAGTGACCCCGAGAAATCACGCCAGTCAATTGAGTGCTGAGTTTGATGGCAGTTAAGCGACTTGAACACCACTAAAGGCTCAAGGTACCTTTTAACTGGTCGATGCAAGGTTTCTCTGCCGGTTTCCGTTCCAGCTAGGCAAGGATATCCCCTTTTCAAAGCATCATTGATACCTCAACTTGTTTCTCACCCACTCACGTACTTGCATTCTATTGATCTGGCTCGTCCGGACTTGAAGGAGTTCTTTGAAATCTCGAGATTCATATCTTGGTATTCGGTTGTTCTCAAAACAGATATCTTCCCTCCCTTTTTGCTTCCACTCGTATATTTCTTCCCGATTTCTTATTGTTGTTTCAGTGTATCCAAGCAGTTCAATCAATATCGCTTGAAGCACGCAGTTAACGCTGATTCTTCTGCAACCCTCATATTCTCTCATCCATCATGCTACCACCCCCCAGGATCCGCCAGGACTCCCGACCAACGACTTTGCCCCGCAAATTATCCATGGACAGTGGGGTCAAACCACTCTCAAATAACAAAACCATGTCGCGTCTTAACTCCCATGCCCCGGCACAGAATGACTCCGGGCACAGATTGCCGTAAGTATCTGGGCGTATGCTTCTTGGAGGGGGATATCCAGCTTCAAGTGATCAATAGGACTGATCAATCGCCATCTAACCACTTCCAGGGCCCACGCTACTCATCGACCTGGAAATCCTATTGGCTCCCAGGCAGCACCAACAGGGGTCATCACTTCGAAGCAACTTCAAGAATTACAGCACCGTCACCAAATGCAGCTGGCCCTTGTCAAACAAGAAGCCCGTGAGCTTAAAGAAGAAAAGGCTTTTCTGGTGGCTCAGAACTTGCGCTTGGAGAGGGAACTTTGTCTACAAAATCAACCTAATTCTCATGGTATGGTTGACCCAAGAAGAGCCGAACTAGTGAGTAGATGATTTCTCGATGATTTGTTTGCTACCTTTCACCTTCTCCACTCCTACTGATCGAGCATTGTATTTTCGTTCTGTTTTTTTTATTCATTACCTTTTGTGCATTAGAGTTCAAGGCCGTCATTCAATCGATCGCGCTCGCATCCAAATGCAGACTTTCGAGATCCTCTCCACTCGCTTACTTCAAATTCACCCACCTACTCTGGTTCTTCTTGTTCTTCTCACCCATGGGCCTCTTCAGGCGGGCCGACTACGCCTAGCTCGCTCTCACCGCGATCGCGTCACTCTCGCAACGCTAGCTCAGCCAGCCTGACCGTACCAACCTCTCACGCGCTGCCACCTATGTCTCGACGACCCTCGTTGAGCAATACCGGCCTACCAGCGACGTCTGCGCCCGACCCAGCCTTGCTACTTCAACGTTTGCGATTAGCCGACCGACAGCAAAAGATGGTACACTCGCAAAACGTACTAAATCCACTGCGCCCTCTCTCCGTGGCTTCGAACGCCTGCGATGAAGTACGCGCACAGTCTTCCCGCTCCAATCCCGGATCCAGAGGCCACAGCCGTCGCAATTCACTTTCGGGTAGCGGTAGTGATCAACCTTTGAAGGGAATCTTAAAGCCTTCTACACCGATGAGGCCTGTCTCCTCCTGCTCTAACACGATTGTCGGACCGCCTACTCGCCCACCCAGCCGACCATCGACAGGCATGGGTTACTACGTCGATGAAGCTTATGATTCCATTACACGCCCGAGTGGACAGCGCACATCCTCTTCCATCTACAACCAACAGTTTCATCACAGTAGTATCCCTCAACACAGGAGTCGTAGAGGAAGCCTAGACGTACCTAATGGAGAACGTCCAAAATTCAATCACGGTTGCAATTGTTAATAATATGCAATCAGTAGATAGAGAACTACCTAAAATACATTATACACTACCTAAAATACATTATAGAATCCGCTACCTGTTTTTAACCCATATGAAGATACAGTATCTTGTGTACCCTACCTAGTTTTTGTGAGTGATAGTGAATGGACTGAAAACAATAGGCTCATTTCAATTTGTAAAGATAACACGAATAAAGTCAAAAAAAAAAATCAAATCATGAAAAAATACACAGTATAATGCTTATTAGTTCTCCAAAATACATATATGTCAAAGTTTGTTATTTATTTACAAGAAAAACAAGAAGCGCCCTAAATGTAGAATCGATTGTTACACTCGTCTTTCAACAAACGCCTGCGATGTTCCAAATCAAGTTATTCTAGAGAGTCATGATGGCAATGCAATCATAGAAGTACATCCATACATTGAGAAGTGAAGAAATATTGACAAATGTAGGAGGTCTTCTCCCTGATTTGTGTGTGGGTGGATGGCTAGAGTAGATGCCATTATGGCTGGTTCATTGAGTACTCAAATCCCCAGATAGGGCTGACCGCAATGAGTTTCTTGGGGCATCAAAAATTGGGAAAATTTACTAGGTTTGCAATGGCCCCAGGAATTTGTCTACAATTGAATGGAAAGGAAACCTCAGCCAAAATAATTTCAAGCGGCTTCCCAAAAAGTTGAGTATCACTTGAACTTGATTTTGTCTTCAAATGTTTTTGTCAACCATTAGATTTCTGATATTTCTGAACAATTTCCTGATCTATCTTTTTCTGCCCCTGGAGTTGGAAGTAGAAAGAAATGTCAAAACTCTACTGTTGTACCTGAGATTGTTTTGCTTTTGATCATCCTCATCAAAGTGTTTGTTTTACTGACAAGTTGCGAGTTTTTTGTGATAGTTTAATTGGAGAGATGCTTGAATACTTGATACCAACACCCTCATTTGCCTGCTTGAGCACAAGCACATCCAACAATGGACAACTTCATTTCAATTTGGATAATGTTTGAGATCCAGAACCCTTGGCAACCCAATTGCCCAATTTGTTCACCAAACAAAAACTTATTTCAATCAGGCAGGATGTTGTTCTAAGTTAAGCTATAAAATCCACACCAATTCAACTGGAATTCCTCTAATTTACTTCATTCAGGTTATATTTTTTGACAATTAGATCTCTTTCAGAGATATCCACAGCATCAGAACTGATAAAAGCTGGGAATGGTTTATCTAAGAATCAAACTTATGGTTCAACTTCAAATTTCTCTAAATAATTATTGTCAAAATGCCAGCCAAGGAATTTATATCTTTCCCCACTTTCATTTTCATTTTCATTTTCATTTTCATTTTCATTTTCATTTTCATTATCTCTCAATTAAACCCCCATTTTCCTGAATTGGTAAGTACCATGAAGCTCAATGGTGTAGGTTCCATCTCAGAGATGAATAATCAGTCCCTTCTGGTGATCATCATTTTTCTTGACAGTGAAGTTTGAAGAAGATGTACAATAAAATGGTCCTGTTTAATGAGTGGAGTTACAGGCATTGAGTAGGTGCTCTGACACAATTTGTGACAGATCAAATTTGTTTATAATCCCATCTGTTGAATTTCAAATTAATCATCATGACTGAGCTTCATCGTTCAGAAAATCAGTTTCTCATTTCCTCCTCATCTGACAAAATATCTGAAAATCTTAAAAATCATTCCAGATCAGTTTACATTTTATTACCAAAAAGCTGGGAATAATTCAATATTTCTTTCATCAAATCCCATCAATTTACTCAAAAACTGGAGGACTTCCCGTAGACTCTGTAGGCCCTACAGAACCAAATTTGGACCCTTCTGGGTCAAATTTTGACATGCCAAATCTGTAGGCACTTTTTTGACCCAGACCATCTGGAAGACCAGATATCCATCATATCTTCTCGATTCTCAATCACAACACATCACACAACCAACCACAACAACAACCCAGCAACTTTGCCTGAAATGGTATCGAATTCTCAACCCAATCCAGCCCATTTGAGTTTTGTTTTTGTGAAGGATGTTTGATTTGATCAATATTCAACCTCAAAATCATTACTAGTTTTCTGAATGAAGTGCTTAAAAATACATCTTCATTCTTGGGACCAAAGATTCACCACCATAAATCATATCATATGAAAAAATTGAGGGTGGATGAGCTGTTTTAAATTTTCTGGATCTTTGTCAATGGAGAGAACAAAGTGGAATCCAAAGTTCTAAAACAATTCATGTGAGGCTTAGTATAGAGATGTCGCTCGATACCCGGGTACCTGTAGCGGGTGCGGGTACCTGCCTCAAAAATCCAATATTTTTGACACCCGCACCCGCACCCGCACCTGCTAGGGCAGCCAGGGCGGGTACCCGGGTACCTGCGCCGGGTACCTGCAGGTACCTGGCACATTTTTGCAGGCAAATATACCCAGAAATCTCACCCTTGAATTTCTGCATGACTTGGTAAATATAAGATTGATATTCACTAGATATATGAGTAAGAATAAAATAGAAATAAAGAAATAAAGAAAAACAAATTATTCCATCACCAATTTGAATTTTATATTCTCTCTGATCTATCTTTAGCTTTACCCTTTTGCTTGGCCTCATTTGCCTTATTCAATGTCCATTGATGAAGACTGTACACCGTCTTTATGACTGGAGGAATTCCTCCAGTCATCAAGACTGTACACCATCTCAAAGGTCGGAGGGAACCCTCCAGCCTCAACAAAGCAACCAGATTAGTTCAGCAACACATGTAAGACACCAGCTGGTGTCCTACATGGGTTGCTGACACCTTTGTGCAACCCAACACACCCCAAAAAGGGAGTTTTGGACCACCAATGATAAATGAAATTCTTCAGGGGAAGCATTCCCAGGGCAGGTGTAAGGCGGGTACCCGGGTACCTGCCTTTTTTTACCGCAAATGTTGACACCCGCACCCGCACCCGGTACCTGTTTCCGGGTACCTGCTTTGGAAAACAGGTACCTGCAAACGGGTACCGGGTACCTGCAAACAGGTACCTGCTGACATCTCTAGCTTAGTAGCAGTTATACATTTCAAATTTTCTGCTGCACAGGAGCGGTTTTGTAACAGTGTTGGCAACTTTAGAAGTTCAATTTGTCTGGTCTTGGAAAATCTCAGATTGAACTGCAATAAGCTTTTGTAAAATTGCTGCAAAGGGCTTTCCTTCTCATCATGTTGGGTTCCACCAATGACTTCATTTCTAACTTGATAAGTTCTACAATCCTCACAAAATCAAGTATTATCCATAATCATATGCAGCTGCAAGATTCACACCACACTTGAACCATGATAAGCCTTAACAAATGGCCTAATTTAAATTTGTAGAAACCTTTATTACTCAGTTTGTTCAGGACAAAGCTATTTTATTCAGTATCATCATTGGATGGTTCAAATCCAGACAAGAATTTTTGAGCCAATTGATCTGATGAACTAACAAAAACAATTAAGTCAGCTTCTCATTTTCACATAAAATATTTTAAAATAAGCTTGTGGAAGACTGCAAGGGACATGTATGAAATCCTTTGGTTTTATTCAAAAGCATGGAAAAGGTTACTGAAAATTGTCCAAGAAATGGGCAACAACAAACTTGTCAATTATTATCTTCAAGCACACTGTCATGTTGACATAGGTTCATTGGGGACAATTGAAATCAAAGATTTTAGCTTACTACACCTCGGGCGCAGTTCGACGTGGTCGGACACCGATTTTTTCGGTGGATTCCACGAGTGACCACTGCAGCGGGTTGGACCAGCTCCTGACGGTCCACAGTTTTGCGTGGACTCCACCCACCCATCCACGGTGTGGTAAATAATACTGTGTTTCTACGCAGAAAATATAAAAATTTCTCATTATCTCTTTATTCATTCAAGATATGGTCAAATTGACATCAAAAATGGAATCCTCAGGTAAAATAACCCCTAGTCACCCACTACAACCATACCCTTATCTCTTATAGTTTAGAAGTTACACAGATTTCAACCTGTCACGGGATATTTCTTGGATTCTTCACTCTAGCCATAGTCATGATGAATACAGGATGCATATTGCATACTGGATTCCTTTGTAGTAAATTGAATACCTTTACGTTGTTTTGAATCCCTTTGTATTAGTGATATTGCATGTATGCATCCCTTTGATCATACATATGCGTCCCTTTATTCATTCATATGCATCCCTTTGTAGTAGTATCATTCAGCCTGTACCCTGGGGCCAAAATCCCTCACATTTGTCTATATAAGGAGGCCTCTGCCTGCCAGTTGTTCCCTCCATCATCCCACCAGGGGTCCATCATCCCACCAGTGGACCAGATCATCTCAACCACCCTTATAAAGAAATCCATCTTATATATTATTTCAGAACTACAAGTCATAGCCACATTACAATTTCAGAATTATATACATTGAAATACAGATTTAACACTTTCATCATCATCATAAACCAAAAGTGCCCTGAACCATATTCATCAACAACAACTTCATCAATATAACCAACAGTCAATAACATCTTTATACCCTCACACATATCAATCGGCAGCTTCATCTTGAACTTATCCCTATCACCATATATAAAATTGCCAAGCTAAGCTTGGTGGTCTTGTTATTCTGATAGTATAGAAGGGCAGAGCTTGCAACTCCAACATACCCTTCTCCATTCAGCAAAAGGGTTTCTTAACCACTTTTGAGTCTTACAAGGGAGTCCCCAACGTGATAGGATAACCTCTGATTGACATTGTGTGACCAATTTTAAACGAAACAAGAAGATAATCAAGAAGACATCGACCAAGGATCATTACTTTAGCGGTAAACGGAACGAATTCATCAACTATATCTGTAACAACTCAACGGCATATTCAGTTATTCTGTTGATCAACTAGTCAAACTTCAATAAAACAATTCAACGAAACAATAAACGAACCTCTGGAAAAGAAAGTGTAACCATCAACTGAAAACGAGTATCTCGAAGGAGGCAGCCAGTTATTGACCAAAAGAAGGAAGACCACCGAAGGATTTGGATAACTTGGATACTGTTTGAAGAGAACTTAGGAACTATTCGAAGGAAGCAGCTGCTTATTGACCAAAAGAAGGAAGACCACCAAAGGATTTGGATAAGTAGATCCTGTTAGAAGAAGAAATTCCCAGTATTATTGAATTATTATTTTAGAGAATCATAAAACTTGCCCTGGTAAAGAGACCAGAGACCATAGTATTATTTTGTTTCTTTTTCAGAGCAACCGTTTGTTTAGTTATCCGAGGAGCGTTAAGTAAGAAAAACTAGGAAAATCAATCACAATCAACATGAGTTTACCGTTCAGTACACCAGATTTGGAAGACGGATTTGCACCATCAACCCCTTTTAGGAACCGATTTTTTGATCAACCTTCGGGA